AATGCGAAAATGCAGCTATCTTTAGTTAGTACTCATCATTTTCTTCCTAACATAGCCTCTGAAGTAAAAAGTTCAACCGAAAGAACGAGGACTTTCAAGGTCCCCAAAAAAAGTGTCCTTAATCTGACATGTAGCTGAAACGCGTGACTAGAAATGCATTTAGGGTTCCAAGTTTTTCGAAGTGTGCCCAGGTCGATTTAACATTGAAAAATTTTTTTTTGCCTTTGTGTAAAGCATAAAGATATGAGTATGCATCAAATGCACTTAGAAAACAGATATAAATTCACTCGCTCCCATAAGTATAGCTACTAATATTAGCTGTCAGCAACTGACACGTAAAATTCGAGGTCCAGAGAATAATAGAACAGATGAGTGGAGCATGACTTAGGGGTAAAGCACCTAACCAAATTCATCCAAGGCTTGCATCAGCTATATAAAATGGGTCCTTTTTCAGAAATTTTATAACTCGTGCTATTTCTATTATTTGGGAGACCCTTATTTTATATTGATAACTCAAAGGTGGCCAGAAAAAATGCTGTCATTCAATTTCATAAGCTATAGTATAACATAGATCCACAAATTAGGAAGAAAATGATTTAGTTCATTGTATTTAAGCATGCGATTAATAGGATGTACTATTCGCCAGAATCGGACGTAACGCTACAGTGATCAGCCAAACGTAAAACCAACCCTTAAATTGGTATAAAAAGGCGACCAAGAATTTAGCTGCTACCAATGATAGTAAAAAGCAAATAACATCTGGAAGCAGTTGGATCGATAATGACTTACGAAATATACATAATCTATATAACTAGCTCACAAGCGTTAAAACAGGCTATTATATCGGCATTTTCCGTGTTTAATGTTGTAATTTATACTCAAGGAAGGGTGTATGCATTGAAAGCTATTATCGATGGTGTAAGGCGCTTAAGAAAAAAATCATCAGGAATGATACAATATAATGATCATATAGAACCCAATGAAAAAAAGATTGGTAGTCAAATTTTATTTACAGAAAAGCAGAGGGGTTGACAGCTACCACTTGCGGTAAGAAGCATATGCTTTATTTTCCTCACATTCTTTGTGCAAATCTACTTTCATTTCAACAGCCCGCCCGGTGTTCTCAGAGGCTGAAATGATCTCCCTAGCTAACGACACCCATATGCGGGTATCCCGAGGTTTATCCTTGGCAGCAGTGATAATATTCTTAATGGCAACATGAGTGGCTCGATCTTGAGTTTGAGGTGGAGCAGGGACCTTAAAGTTGGACAATATATTGATAAGCATGAAATAAAAGTAAATCAAAAAATAAAAAGATAGGCACCTTATACAAGACGCCACCTCGCTGAACGTGATGCAAGAGAAGTAGAGGAATGCAATTATTCACAGCAGAACGGATAACTTTTATGGGATTCATTTCAATATGAGAATATTCCTCTGCAGATGAATTATTTCTTTTCGTGAGCTAACAATAAGCATTCGGAGTTACTTGAATATATTTAATTTCTGCAAAAGTATTACGCATAGCTGCTCTTGCCGTTTCGCGTTCACCATTCTTGGTCATCATTCCGGTCAGCTTGAATACTAGTTGATCCCAATTTGAGCCAGAATGTACCCATTTAGGGCAGGGTTGAACTTGGCTAAATTTACATGGATCATTAGGGTCTAATTTTTCATCAGCTTTTAAGAATTTTGGTTCTACGGCAAGATTATAAATTTTCATTCTGACAAGAAGCCTTAGGGGGCTGATATAATGAACAGATGGAGAACAAACAAGCTTTGATAAGGCGAAAGACATGACGGCAAGGGAAGGTTACAACAGCAAATAAAGGGCGGTAAAAGGTGGCGCGATAAATATAAAAAACTAAAAAAATTAAAAGTTTGT